GTGTGTTTGAGTTAATAGAGCTATGGGACTGAGTGCACATCTTACAGGATAACACACTTTCATTTGCCAGTCATGTGTCATTACTTATTTTCTCAGTGCTATACAGCTGAGCACCATGTACTGTAACACCAACTACAACAGTAAAGCTTGCTATAGGCTAAGTTTGCAATGTGGAGGTAAACTATTTTTAAACCCTTTTTAAAGATTTCAATAGTTCACACTTAGATATTGTTTGACAACTTATTAGCAAGTTAGAAGGTTCGGCATGCTGTCCCAGGTGAGAACACTGAGCTCGGAGATAGTTGAGCCCAGGGCTCCCGCCTGATCCATAGAGCATGTGAGGGGAGTATGAGATCAGGTGGTTCTCGAGAGCTCCCCTGGTAAAGGAGGAGAAGGGGTGGATGGGGGTTTCTTCGGAAAAACGAAAATAAGAGAGTAGTTCTAACTAGGCTACTTATAGTGAACTGTTCAACCGACTGGTCAAAAAGACTAGTAGTTTACAGCGATAAAGGTTTTGCTAAACAACTGCAAAGTCCTGCGTTTTCAGTAGCCTACTGTTCTTGCTGACAGATCATTTTACATATTATTTATGTCAGGGATTCTCAACTGCTGGGCCTCAGTGATCCTGCAGGTGGGCAGCAAGATTTTAAAATTAACTTAAATATTATACTTTAATTATATTATTTCATTATTAAACAAGTCATATTAAAATGATAGTAGTAATGGCATTCCCCGTTTTCTGTGGTTGATCAGGCTAATTCGGACTCTGTTCAAAAACAGCCTCACTGTTAGTTACAGACATAACTGTGGCTTAAATTTCCAACCGCTGCACTTCAACTAGGACTACGTTCTCAGTTGTATAAAGCAAACAGTCACGCAAATGTAAAGGTAATGATGATGAGAGTTATAATAACCAGCTCACGCGTGCCTCATGTCTGCGGCTCATACTGTTTCAGAGTTGCACAAGTCTGTTAATTTACAAACTATGCGTGCTCTCTCTGTGTGAACAATTTAAAATATCTGTATAGTTGTCCAAGTAACGTCTTGCGAGTGTTTTATAACTGACGCTCGTCCGTACAGGATTGAGACTCTGTGGTGTTTCAGTAGTGAACAGCTGTTCACTGTTCCTGTCAGCGAACTCCAATAATGTCCAGCTACAAACCAAACCGCCTTCAGGTCGATGTGTTTCAACAGACTTTATTTCATTTTATTACATTTACTGTATTCTACATTTAGGGTTAGGTTGTTTATTTTAATGGATATATAGATCAATAGATGAATAGAAATCAGTCTGATTCTAAACAGCAGCAGCTTGAAGTCCTCCTGCATCTCCTGTAGTCCTGTCAGGTTCCTTTACTAAAGAAAGGCCTAATACCGTGCAGTTGTAAAGAATAACTGAAGTAAAAAATTCAGGAACTTTGAACTGGTCTGTGCATTTTTTTCAATATTAAAATACATATTATTATATATATAAATAAAGCTTTAAAATAAACACAATCAGTTTTTCCCTAGCAAAAATTTTTTGAGAAAAGGTGGGCCTCAAAGTGAAAGGTTGAGAACCCCTCATTTATAATATGAATAAACAATGCATATCTAATTGTTGGTCTTCATCGGAAAAGCTATATTCCATATTTTAATAAGACGGTTTTATTTAATTTAAAGTTAGAATATTGTGTATGAATAAATGTTTACAATATTTAATTAAATTAAACTAAATGCATTTTAGTCAACTTAATATAGAGTAGATTTAATCGATTAAAATCCTATGAAATTTAGTGCACTAAAACTAAAATGATCCTGAAGACTAAAATATGATAAACTAAAATGGAATTTTAGTCAAAAGACTAAAACTAAATCAAAATTTGCTATCAAATTAACACTGCCCAAGAGATTAGCCTGGGAATGTTTGTACGCGTACATCTGTCTGTGTATCTGTATTTGTCCACCGAATCGCGCTTGTTGAGCTTGAGTTTAGACAGATGTAATTGGAATCATTACAGCAGCACATTCGTGTGATTCCTCAAGTCACATATTACAGTAAGCAGGCAGTGCTGGAGCTGTGCCATTCCAGCACTTGAGCGTAATTTGACAGGCAGGCGTTTTGCCCACAAACCACGGACGGCGAGGGAAAGTTGCGAAGCTGATGACAGAGAAACTACTTAGAGCTTGAGATTACTGTTGGCAGCTGTTGAGGGCATAATCAGCGCTGTGATGTTCGGCACGGCTCCAGGACGCTTCTGCAGGTCCCGGACCCCAATGAAAAGCAAATGTGCGGCAGGGGAGACGCTAGATAAAAGGCTTCTGCGCCGAATCCTGGCTCTCTTTGATTGGATCATCTTACTGTTTGTGAAAGGCCACTGAAGATTTGAAAAGCCTTATGTATAGCAAACCTGCATGTAGGATTGAAAAGACCAGCTCTAAAAGCTAGCGTAGCCGGAGCTGTCAGATGATGTGCTGATGATCTGCCTTCCTGATCAACAGTGTATTTGTGTCTGGAAAAGATGTTTAACAGTAATTTAATGTGAAGGGCTATTAATGCTTTGTTAAAGAGGTAGTTCACTCCAAAAATGAACCATTTATTCATGATGTTTTAAATCCTTCTTCTGTTGAACACACAATATATTTTGATGAATGCTGATTCCTGGCACCCATTGACTGTCATTGTAGGGGGGGAAATAATGTGGGAGTCAGTGGGTCCCGGTGACCAGAAATTTTCTAAATATATTATTTTGTGTGGGCCACAGTGGCTCAGTGGTTAGCAGTGTTACCTCACAGCAAGAAGGTTGCTGGTTCAAGTCCCAGCTGGGCCATTTGGCATTTCTGTGTGGAGTTTGCATATTCTCCCCTTGTTCGTGTGGGTTTCCTCCGGGTGGGGTGCTCTAGTTTCCCCCACAGTCTAAAGATATGCGCTATAGATGAATTGAATAAACTAAATTGGCCGTAGTGTATGAGCGTGTGTGAATGCGAGAGTGAACAAGTGTTTCTCAGTGATGAGTTGGTGCTGGAAGGCCATCGGCTGTGTTAAACATATGTTGAATAGTTGTTGGTTCATTCTGCTTTGGCAACCCCTAATAAACAAAAAGACTAAGCTGAAGGAAAATGAATAAATGAATTATTTTGTGTTCAACAGAAGAAAGAAAAAAGTAACATTGTGATATCTTGTTTTTCTGAGATAAATATTGCAGTATTGGGTGTAATATTTTTCGGATGAATAGCTCTATTTGTAAAGAATTCATAGTTTTACATGAATTGGGTTGATTTTGTAGGTTTTTGCATCTGTATAAAATATAATAAATCAATCACAAGCATTGATCAATACAGTGAAGCAAAGATACCAATGAAATAAACAGTGCTTTATGGTTGTCAATGAGTCTAGCAGTATTCAGGTAAACAAGTTGAGTAGTCAAATGAAAATAACAGTTCATGTTTTTTGTCTTAAGTGTGTGTGTGTGTGGGGAAAAAAAAAAAAAATATATATATATATATATATATATATAGATAAGTTATTTTTTTTAAAAGTTATATAATATTTTACAAAATACAAAAGTATTTTAAGATGTTAAGTTTTTAGATAGTAGTGTCAGTATTGTTTGTTTGTTAGATATCGATAAGCTAGTGCGCTCAAACTTGTAGTTTGTCACTTCTGCCTAAAAAGATCAACGGTTTAATTCACGTCACCTCATACTTCAGCTTCTTATCACATCATAAACAATCAAATGCTCTTTAGTATCTGACATGGCTCCTTCAAGATGTTTCTCATTTGATGCGCTTAAGCTCAACCAATTTCACTGGCGGAGCTTTGATGAAACAAAACATTATTGGCTGTTTTTTGAAAAGGGGAGGAGCTACATTGTTCCTCTCTTTTTGTGTTTCAGTTGAGATTACATCAAACATCAAATAAAAATGCACATTTCAAAGCACTTCACGAGAGCTTTCAAACATGCAAATGATCAACTTTTTGTAGCTAATATGGTTAAAATTTGCTATTATGAAAATTATGATTGTTTATTTTAATATGCACTTTGCACAATCTAAATAACATATGACTGATGGTATCTTGGCAAGTATCATTTTTTGGATGCACTATAAATGCATTTCGAGATTTGAGGCTTCTATTTAGCCTTCTGCTGGATTAGTTGCTTCATAATTCCTGTATGTTTTCAACTGTGCTAACTGGTCGATTATAATCAGAATTTAACATTGCTGATCCTGTGATATTGCGAATACGTGCATTGCAGTATCGATGCTAAAACTATGTTGTGCAGTCCTAGTAATATTGGCAGAATTTTCTTTTTTTTTTTTTGGATGAACTGCCATTTTTTAAGAGTTCACACTTATCTGATCGTTGATTATAAATCATGCTGTCATGGGAAAGAGCCTCGAGCTTATGAAATCCTCAGCAGGGCGAGAGTGGAGTTTCAGCTCAGGTAGATCTTGAGAACTCCCTCTTACTTACTATGGCTATAGGTAAAAATACAGCTTACTAAGAGCTTGACTATAGTGCCAATTTAGTATGTTCAATTTACTTAAGTCGCGTGTTTTTAGACTGGGAGGAAACCAAGGACAGGGAGAACAAGCAAACTCCGCACAGAAAGTCGATGATACTGAGGTAAAAAAAAAAACTGGTTATTTACAGTATAGTGAGTTATAAATCATCTGGTTGGTGAATCGTGTGTTAGCTAATGCAGGACCAGCTGTGATCAATCATAAGTATGTGATCCTCTCGAAATTTTTGTAAATAAACTCCACTTAAACCACGTGCTGAATTCATCATTGGATTTGATATATCTAAAATGCTAATAGGTCTCTCTTTAGAGGTAGTACTGAAACAGTCTTTTGGTTTGTTTATGTCTTGAGTAACTGTTAACTTGAGTGTGTGTATATAGGAATCATTCAGCCTCATGTCATTTCTCATACTTCACTGCGTTGGTTAGTTGTCATTGCGTATGACCTACACAGTGCTCCTCATTGACAGTGTTCCACCTCTTTGTGTTTCTCAGGGTTTCCAGATTATGGCTTTTACTCTGGGCCTGGAGACCAGCGGGCCGCCCCCTGCTCCTTTGCTGATTATGCCACCCTGGGACCCCATACAGGTCAGATGCTGCAGAGCGAGCACGTCACCTCCACCTGCAACTCTCCGTCCCAGCACCACCCAAGCCCGGACCACTTTAAAAGCTCAGGTGTGTATGGCAGACATTTTATTTCTCCAGTACTGCTGTTTCTATTACCAGATTATTCTTAATTATTAGGAAACAATTGCTGTGTCATGTTTTCCTATTTATTTTATTATTAATTTACTTGCATTTATTTGAGTTTATTTATTGTGAGTATCTGAACAAGTGTCTTTGATAGGTGCTGACTTCATTCACAACACGTTAGGGATAGCAAGCCAAAAAAAGCTAATTCAGCCATCATTTACTCACCCCAAACTTGTTCAAAACCTCTTTTAGTTTCTTCTGTTGAACACAAAAGATGATAGTTTGAAAACAAAGGTTAATGGCTGGCACCCACTGACTTGTACAGTAATGTTTTACCTGATATAGAAAGTTGATAAGTATCCGCAACCAGCATTTTTCATAATATCATATAACATTCCTCATAGAAAGAAAAGCATAAACGTTTAAAACCACATGAAGGAGAGTAAATGTGAGGTACAGTAATCCAGTTTTTTGGGTTAACTGTCTCTTGAATGCCAGGTGTCAACTCATAAAACAACTGTGTATGAAGTGGATTATGTTTTCATTCCTGATTCTACATTTAATATGATCTTGAAATTCAGACTCCAGGTTTGAATCTGCAGACAGACTGATGCATGTAAAGCTCTTGTTTTGTCCTACCAAAAGATCCAGTGAGGTCAGGCATTGTGTACTGGACATCTGTGGTTCAGACCTGATCACTGTGGCCACACGGCCCATGCCAGGCCAGGTGTCGTGGATCTTTGAGATTCACCTCCTTCTGTCCCACTTCTCTCGCCTCATTTCATTTGGCAGTCAACAGGAAACTGTCTGTAGTCCTTCTGCTTTACACCAGTGATCACATAGATGTAGCTTTGGCCACAAGCCCAACCTGTTCTCATTCTGCTGCTGGTCTGGCCCCAAATTACAAAGACTAAATCTAAATAGATTTTTGAGTGTGCTTTCAGTGTTTAAATGCTTCAAAAAGGCATGAATGTAATTGTTAATTCTCTGAAATTAATCACCATATCGAAGTACTGTAAATAATAATAATAATGATAATTCTTAACATTTATATGGCGCTATTCTGGACACTCAAAGCGCATTAAACATAGGGGGGAATCTCCTCATCCACCAACAGTGTGCAGCATCAACCTGGATGACGCGACGGCAGTCATATTGCGCCAGACCGCACACCACACACCAGCTGATTGGTGGAGAGGAGACAGAGTGATGAAGCCAATTATGATATGGGGATGTTTAGGAGGCCATGATGGACAGAGGCCAGTGGGCAGATTTGGCCAGGATGCCAGGGTTAAACCCCTACTCTTTTTCGAAGGACATCCTGGGATTTTTAATTCCAGATTTTTTAAAAAGACGTGGTTAGTGTTGATTGTACAGATCTGGTGAGTGTGTGGTCAGTGTCTTTATTTATGTTTATTCAGATGGCAAAGTTAGTTAGTATCGTCAGCAGTATTCCAAGTTTTTAAAGACACACCTTAGTCAAAATGATTTAGTTTTATGTTATTTATAGTAATATCACAACTGAAAATCCTCTACTTCCACACAGCTCTCAGATCAGCTGTAAATGCTGCTGTCTGAATCACTGTCTCCCCTGCGTCTGTGTTTGTGTTGCCGGCTGTTGTGCACGTAATCAAACTCCCCTTTTCATGCAAACCCTTTCGCCTCTCAACACCCGCATCTAAACAGAACTAGAGGTGTGAAAACACCCTGCTGAGGCAGGGGCTGTTTTATAGCGCTTTAATGGCCAGATTTTAATTTGCTAGATTTCATCAGCCCAACACAAAAGTACAACATTCTTGGGTTTTATTTTTTGCATTGGCAAAACAGAAACAAAATCTTATTTTGCTACTGCAATGTATGTCCTTAATATTGCTTTCAGCAAAGTTTTAGAGCATTTCCAGAAAGCTCCATTAAATACAGGTGCGCTGTATTGAAGGTCTGTCCGAATGTCTTGTTGCTGTGGCAACATGGACAAAGTCGATGAATCGTAGGTCTTTTAGGGGTCAATACTGGCACTTCTGGTGTGTAGTTTTGTGCTGGAGAATATCTACATTTCTGCGGCTGTCCCTGCTCAGCAGAAACACTCTGTTATCCCGCCAAAAGGATGCGCAGGGTGACATCGATTAAAACCCCAGTGCTGGGAGCCAGAGCGGGACAGATGAGTCACCTGTGTCTCAAAAACACGCTGCGTAATCACAGGCCGGCGGCTTTAATTAGCATGGGTGCTGCTAAGCTACCAGTCAAAGCCAATAAATGTAAGTCATGTTTAGCTATTAAAGCTAATAGCAGTAACGGTTTAGCCCCAGGGTTTAATTTGGAGCATAAATCCCATTCCTGGCAAAGCGAGAGAAAGCACAGCTCTCACCTTTACAGAATCCAGCAATTATGTGGAATAAAGATTACAGTACACATAAAAGAGTGTGAAAGAAAGGTAAGCCGGAGTGCTCCGATAAGAACAGCACGTCCAGGGAGAGGAGAGTTAGCGCTGACTCTCATCACTTCATTAACACGCTGTGATTAAGTACTGTATCTGTATATGCACATTAAATGTCAATTAACATAATTTCATTTCAAGAATACATTTTTTTTACCCTAATGTTTCTGTAAAGAATTAAACCATATAACTCTTGTTTTAAATGACAACTAGCATGTAGGCACGGGAAAATTACCAGTTTTAAAATCGACAAAATTTACTGTTTCAAAGTGTGTACTCATACTTTGTACAGTTGCCTTGAACCGGGCCAAAGCACGCTTGTCCCCCCTCCCGTCTCCCCCAACGGCCCGCATTCACATTACATTCGGGCCTGGACACGCTTACGTCATTGATGATGAGCTGTTCAGTAGAGAAGCGCTCTGGCTCAGTACAGTGGAGATTTCTTTATTGATATTGTTTTAGTCGTTTGATATGCAGTGACATGCAGTCAAATATTTTGTCGAACAGATCAGCAACTTTTGACGCTCATAAACAATCAAAGTCCTCGTGTTGCAGGAATTAGGAGGTTTGCTAAAGGTGCAGCTGTCGTGCAGTGAGGGGTTTTTGTCTTTAATAATCTATGACAGTTTGTGTTCATTAAACAGTAAAAATGATTAATAAATCCACATGAAACAGTCCCTTAAATGTCACATCTCATCTTCCGTTTTGGGCTCAGGCATGGTTTGCTCTGCCTGGCACACCTCTTCCAACCGGGCCAGGGCCGGCCAGGTGAACCGTTCATGAGCCTGATTAAGAGCACTTACACTTCTCAAACAATCCGTAAAATGGGCCCTGGCATGGTTCAGATAGCATAGTGTGAGTAGGCCCTAAGATACATGTTCGTTTTTTGTTTTTTACAACTATTTTATTTATTTTTTTATAGCAGCAGTATCTCCAGTCATCAAGCTGAACGATTCAGCAAACATCTGAAAACCTCTTCTATATATATATATACACTATCTGAGTGAAGTCTTGTCTTCAATCCCAGTTGTAAGAGCAACAAAGAATAACTTGACTTCTGATTGATCATTTGGAAAAGTGTTAGAAGGTAGATTTTTCTGATGAATCATCTGTTGAACTGCATTCCAGTCATCACAAATACTGCAGAAAACCTACTTGAACCCACATGGACCCAAGATTCTCAAAGAAATGAGTCAAGTTTGGTGAAGGAAAAATCATGGTTTAGGGTTACATTCTGTATAGGGGTGTGCGATTACAAACCACAGGAGAGGGCAAATTCTACCTCAGGATAGCACTCCTTCTCATTCTTCAGCCTCCACATCAAACTTCCTAAAAGCAAAGGTCAAGGTGCTCTAGGAATGGCCAGCCCAGTCATCGAACATGAACATTATTAAGCATGTCTGGGATAAGGTGAAGGAGGAGGCATTGAAGATGAATCCAGAGAATCTTGATGAACTCTGGGAGTCCTGCAAGAACGCTTTCTTTGCTTATTTTAGTCATTGCAGAGATGTATGGATGCAGTCCTCCAAGCTCATGGGAGTCATACACAATAATCATTCTTTTTCCACTGCAGCATGATTTTATATTCTATACTGTACATTATTTCTGTTAAGTGACAAAAATCAAGGCATGATTAATTTTATTTAGCTAAAAAAGTGTAATCTAGAGGCCTTTGCCTTTCGCATAAACCACTTCTGATACCAAATGATCAACTAGAAGTCAAGTTATTATTTGTTGTTCCTAACACTTGGAAAAGCGACAAGACTTTTATCAGGGAGTCTACACATACATGTATATATACATATTAAACGTTCAAGCATACTATAGACCTGAGCAGTGCAGTGCCTTAATTTATATCCACAGAAAAGATATCGAAATACACCTTTTCAAGTTGTAAAAAAATCTGTGTTGTTGAATTTAATGAAGACAGAAGAATCAATCAATGATTTATTTGAATAATTTAGTCGTTTTCCAAAATATTTTAAATTTTTCTTTAAATAAAATACATTGTGTTCAATGGAAAAAAAGAATTTATCCAGACATTTAAAAAGGACATATTGTAGAGCCGTAATAACAGTACTGTGACATATTTATCTAATGTTATCACACCATCAAAATCTTATATCCTCCGTGACTATTAGCATGTACGCATCATAACAGCATTTTAACCTACTTTGATAGTTTTATTTAGCCCAACCCCCACACAGTCATGATTGTACTAATATAAGCATCAATACAGCGCTGTATGTGACATGAAATCCCTGCATGCGCCACACACACACACACACACACACACACACACATGCATCTGGTTGTGTTGATACCTGTGGCGACTGCAGGCGCTGATGTTCTGTCCTCCAGCTGTATACGGTCACTGTGAAGAGAGATATGGGGAATGAGCATTTACAAAAGCAGCTCAGTCTTTACATGCATGTTCAAATCTCAGCTCAGTGTTCTTAGCACAGCAGGAGAGCCTGTGTTTCTCCCTGCCTCGTCCTTCTGTCAGACCTGACTAATGCACAGCACAGCGTGTGGCTGCAGACTGTTTTGCATGGACATTGTGGGCGTTTTTAATCTAAATACTGGCCATGCATGTGTGAAGGCTGTTCATTCAGGAAATTTTTGTTTTTAAAAACACAAAGAGTATAAAAAAATATTGTCATCTTACAAACAGCAATGAAATCCTTGTTTTTTCATGAGTAGTTAAACTGTCCTTTAGGCCATTGTTTCTCAGCCACGTTCCTGAAAGACCACCAGCTCTGCACATTTCCATGTCTCCTCAACCAAACACAGGGTTAGTTCACCCAAAACTGAAAACTGTCATTATTTACTCTCCATTCACTGTTCACACACCTGTTCAACTTTTTTTCTTCTGTTGAACACACAAAAAGTTATTTTGGAAAATCCTGTTATTATAATAAAATGTGTTTTTTCCAATATAAATGCCAACATTTTTCAAAATATGTTCTTTTGTGTTTTAGAGTGTACTATCCCTTTAAAAGCCAGGAGCTGTACACTTGATAATTTGTACAGTCAATTAATATCTGCTTTATCTAATTATTAGAAAGAAAGACCAATAGCTTACTGTATGAGGCATTTTTGGCCATTCTGTAAAGAGCTATGTTAACTTGCAGTATACCAGGGGTGCCAAACTCAATTCCTGGTGGGCCACAGCTCTGCTGTTTAGTTCCAACTGTGTTTAAACACACCTGATAAAAATAATTGAGTCCTCCAGGCTTGTTTAAAACTTACAGGTTAGTGTGTTGAAGCAGGGTTGAAACTAAACAGTGCAGGGCTGTGGCCCTCCAGGAACTGAGTTTGACACCTCTGATGTATACTGTAGTACAACCAGGGCTTGACATTAACACTCGCCAAATGCGGGATATCAGCTGTGTTGAGTTGGACAGCCACCTCCACTAGCCACTTTGGCCTTTTGAAAATAACTTTTAAATTGCCATTGTTGGCTCATCACTAAAGATTAGAACTTTAGTTTAAGGCCGTTTGTCAATATGTGTGCAACTGCGATCAGCACAACTGATAACTGTTTGTGCAAGCAAAAAGCAAGTGAATATTGAATGAAAAAATGATCAGGCGATTGGTGAGACACAGGCTCTCCTCACTCACTGATGAGGACTTCATGTCGTGCATGTAGAACTTATGTGATGCTTGTGAGAGCTTAAAAGCTCACGGATCCTTGCACGAAGTAAACGTGCTTGGGAACACAACTGGTGCGATTGCCTCTCTTTTAAATAGACTGGGAAACAGCTGTGCTCATGCACCCACAGTCCTGCTGCTTTCCAGAGCTACAGTTTTTTTTTTTTTTTTTTTGTAAGCAGCAGCAGTTGCCGCTTTTGTTTTAACCATTCTCTGAACAGATTATTAATGGGCCATGTGCACATGATTATCCTTTATTATCGCACATGGAATGATTTTCACCTGCTTTTTTTTTGCTTCTAGTTATTTTTGTTAATATGGTTTAATGTTTACAATAACATTACTTTAATAGATTAACTCTCCATTTATCTATGGTTCACTGATGGACCTTTAGTCTGGACAAACTATTGTGCATTTTAGATTCATGACAATATATATTTTTTTAAATGTCTGTTGTTTTTTTAGGAACATTTTTGTTGAAAAAACTAAATGTACACAGCTATAAGTGAGAAACACAGTGGCGCAGTAGGTAGTGCTGTCGCCTCACAGCAAGAAGGTTGCTGGTTTGAGCCTCGGCTGGGTCAGTTGGCGTTTCTGTGTGGAGTTTGCATGTTCTCCCTGCGTTTACGTGGGTTTCCTCTGGGTGTTTCGGTTTCCCCCACAGTCCAAAGACCTGCGGTACAGGTGAATTGGGTAGGCTAAATTGTCCTTAGTGTATGAGTGTGAATAAGTGTGTATGGATGTTTCCCAGAGATGGGTTGCAGCTGGAAAGGCATCCGCTGTGTAAAACATATGCTGAATAAGTTGGCAGTTCATTTCGCTGTGGCGACACCCAGATTAATAAAGAAACTAAGCTAAAACGAAAATAAATGAATGAACAGCTACATTTTGCTTGTTTTGACACATTATTTACATTTTGTGGCAAGGAAATAATTAGTTTGGTGTGGCCAGAGAAAAATGGATAAATCCTTAGTATCCTTAGAGCTCTAAAAATTCATGTGAAATAAAACTAATTGCAATTTGACACTTAGAAGCCATAATCCATTTGCTCAGCTCATTGAGCAAGATCACACACAACATATAAAACAAGTAAAATGAACGAGGAGTCATGTGGACATAACACAAAATGTAAATGAAGTAAATTTAGCATGCTACAGTCAAATATTATACATATAAAATGTATTTTTTCCATCAAAAAAATTGTTGGTCTAGTAGAGAGATGACCAAACTAGGGCCTGCGGGCCAAATTTGTCCCATGGTTATCTTTGATTTGGCTCACCATTCCATCTGAGAAGAGAGGGACAAGGTTTAGAGATTGTCAATCCAAATTTAATGCAAACATTTGTTTGTTTTAAGCTTTGTCTGTTTGTTAAAAGCTGAAATTAAATGCTTTATTAAATGGTTTAAATTAATCAGATTTTGCTTAAATCTATATACAGTCACCTGACAATGCAGAGACCTTGATGAGCAAATCAAGTCAAAGGCAGATTCTGCTTGACTAGTGTATTCAGCATTGCACTCCACTGTGTTATAAATGTGATTGTTTATGTTTTATTGCAATAAGTCATCATTTAAAAAGTTATACTGCATTGGTTTATCCGATTTAAAGTAATGGTTTCTTTTTATTTTGAAATATTATGAATAATAATAAAATTGGCAAATGCCCATGGCAACTTTATTTTAATATAGTTTGGTAAATTTACCCTTGGGTCCACGGCTCTTGATAATATTTGGTTTTTGGCCCTTCATACCTAAAAGTTTAGGCACCCATGAACTAGTGACAATGGCGAGTGGCTAGTAACGTTGGAAAACTAATAGCCACAGTGGCTGGTGATCAACAAAGTAAATGTGAAGCCCTGAGTACAACTGTCCAAAAAAATACTAATAATTAAAAAAACAATACAGACAATGACTGTTTAATCCTAATGAATAGAATAATTAATTGTGAAATGGGGGATTTAGTGTTTTTTTCTAAAGCACGTGACATGCTTTTTAGATTTCCTCTGATGTATGAAAAGCTTAAAAGAACATTGTTTACGAGTGTTATAAATGTGGTTTCACTTTTGAACAAATAAATGCGTCGTTGCTGAATAAAAGCATTCATTCATTTATTTATATTAAGTGAACATGGCTTCTTCCATCTTCTCTGTGGTTGTTTAGTGGTTTTATTATAGAGTGAAACTGATTTCGCCAGTGTGTATGTGTGTCCTATACAGGTGCTAACCCTCCTCGGCCTGGAGGTTTCCCCGGTGCGAACAGTCCTGGCCCCGTGGCAGACCTGTATGGCCCCAGCAGTCAGGACTCAGCAGTGGGAAATTACATCAGCGCTGCCAGTCCTCAGCCAGGCTCCGGGTTCAATCACAGTATCGCGGTGAGTAGAGCTATATGTTACACTCTCAGTCACGCTAAGAGATGCAAAAAGTGCTCACTATTAGTCCTTGTCCGTCCTAGTTTTTAATTATATTCAACCTCCAACTGAGAAATGCGAGTCTGACTGGCTGTTCCTCAGTCGTGACTCACTTTTTACAGTGAGGGCTTGATTGTCAGCACAGCCATTTAGAAAAGCAGCGCTGGGGAAAGAAGAATATCAGAGGAATTAGTTCCATTCCACATGTTCAAAAATACCCCAATGAGTCACGAGTCTCCGTTAGACTGACACTTCTCGTCTCGCTGATGTTTTGTTTGGGGAATAAAAGCATCACAAACAGTTTAGAGGAAGCAAAAAGCTGCCATGGTTGGAAATGAGCAAATTGTCAAAATCAGATGTCCCTGTAACTAGCAGATGCTCTTGACACCGTCTCCAAACAAAAGCCCCTGCGTTGCACAAAAAACTTGCTTTAATTGGCTTTTGTCGGCGAGCGCACGCATTCTGTCTGCAGATGTCACGGACGTCAGGTTGCGGCTCGGTGTCAGCGCCCATCTCAATTTGAAGAAGAAAGCATTTATAATGAGCTGCCAAATTGAAATTAAATTATTCACCCCGTTCTCTCAAATCAGTTTCTTAACCAACTGAAGCAGATTTTGATTTATGCGAGTGTTTGCTGGAGATTTCTGCTGTTTGGCTGCTTCTTGTTAGTTTGCTCCTGTATATGGAGGGTATTCTTAAACAATTACAATGCAAACATTCCATACTTTTCCACACTCTTTAACCATAATTAACTTATATATAAACTATTTTTATTGTAGTAGCTCTGATTTTCACAGCCATAAAATACAATCTCTAACCTGCAGGGTTATTCTTATATAATAAAATATATAATAAAAAGTGCTGGAAATTCTTATATTTTAATCTAGTGTTTTCAAAGGTTTGCATAATGCTTTAGATTTTGGATAGTGGTTGCTTTCATAATGAGTTCTCTTACTAAATAGGTAACAATAATAAAAGAAATAGTTTTGCTTTTGCATAAAATATAAATTGTGGAGTCTGTGCATGTGCACATAGCATGATCTGCCTGTCTTAATCAAAGAGCACAGATTAGTATTATTTCAATTTAAGATTAAAGATGACTTAATAATAACAGTAGTTCAATGTTGGGCTTGGGAGAAACATGCCATCAGAATCCATCTTTGATGCCATGCTGTATTACAGAATAATATAACAAATAGCATCTGATGAGTTTGACCACACAGAATCTGTGCGTGTAGTAATCTGCAGATTTTTAGCCCATCATTGAGTCTTTATTTACTTGTGTAGATGTACATTTATTCAGTTTTGAAAGTAATTTTAGTAATATTACTGACTAATATAAAAATGTTCAATTGATTTATTTACAATACAGTTAGTGAAGTCATATTTCATGTCTTTTAGTAGATCTATGATATGAGAGACTTGCTTTGTTTACCAAATAAGTGGATCTAATTGGATTTGCATTGTAAACATTAAATAAAGTAAAAAAAAATTTTTTCATATATTACGTTTTTAGTTATAATACTCCTAAAACAATTCTGCGTACATCTTTTTTTTTTTTACAAAAATCTGCACAGAAATAGCAAAAAATGTCTGCAGATTGTGTCTGGCCCTTCTGCTGAGGTATGTACTGTATATGTATGTAAATATGTATTTTTCCACATCTAAAAAAAGTGCTGAGATTTGACTTTGGAAAAAGTGTAAAAACCATTAACCTACAGGATTGCATCTTCTCTGATTGATTGACATGTGGATGTGTGCGTTCATTTACATCCAGGAAACTACATTTCCATATTACCGAATTCTGATGTTTTCCAACAGTAGTAACCAATAGGATATAAACACAGGAGAAAATAATAAAATAGTTTAAAAATTATATAATATAAAATCTAAAATTGTATATAATAGAAGTTTTTTAAATATATATAAATAAAACTTATGCAATTTACACTCTGCAATAAAAGTACAAAAACCGTCACGCAGGTGACTTTTTAGATTCAAACGCATACTTTTTAGGAACCGACCCAGATTTAGTGCAATTTGTGTATGAAAATAGACATGCCCAATATTCTAGCTCTTTATATTTGAAAGGATTAATCATTTATGCAGTCATGCACATTGTTTGACAGCTAATATGATGGTGATTTGATGCTCCGCAAAGGTTGCAGACACCTTTACAGACACCAAAATGCTTTTTTGATGCAAAATTTATTTGAGCCAATATAAGTGATTTCTTACGCTGATTAAGAAACTTAGGAATAGGCTACTATCATAAAGAAAATCCGCTCTAAATGTTAAACTAAATAAATTGATAAATGAAAGTGTAAAGCCTGCAGCCCACAGCAAAGGTGAAAAGTGATTGTGTATCATATTCTGTATAACAAACCATTTCCTATGAGTTTGATGTAATTTTGCTTGCGTGGATAATTGAATATTAATCAGATGATTTCATTAGCTGCTGTGATCATGATTTCGAGGATCGATAGATCTGTCCTTCACAACACACCCAGCCATCTCAGATTAGTTCATCCAGACATTTTAATCTGATTTGCAAGCTTGTTTGAAGAACCAAAGAAGTCACGCTTACAGTTCATGCAAACTCTGGTCCGGTTCACTTCTGGTATGAATGCAATCATACAAAATAACAGAAGTGACCCGCCAACTGTACAACAAACTTTAGTTCTCATTATGATCATTCGTGTGTGTGTATCACATAATGTACCTTGCTAACAAGCAGGACTGAGCCCAGGCAAACACAGTGAAAATGTCTGCTTGTCTCCTCCAAAAACAGCTTCTGCCGACATTGTTATTTGTTCTGAACGTTTATAATATTTTTGCGGCAGATGGATGTAAGCTGCTTTCTGTATGTTCAAAACTAAAAGATTCAGTAAAAGCAGAACAACTGCAATAAGCAGACATCTTTCCATTTTGGTGCTGTGCTTTCGTGTTCGTCATCTTGCAACAGCCGTAAACACAACAGCAGCTCAATGACGCAAGAGTACCAGGGCTCAGAAGGAAAAAAGACAGTAGAGTGAAGACAAACTAACCGAGAATGTGACGACAAATGAACTTAGGGTACAGTCCAGACAATTGAACCCTCATTTAAGCAAGATAAGAAGAATGAACACCAGATGCTTTATTTATATTTTAGAAAACCACAACTGACTGTCTGGTAATGTCATTTTGATTTACTTTTCCACCTGGAAATGACTCCAACCAAATCCATGCTTTTCCAAACTACAGAACTCGAATATTTCTTGTTCTATAATAGTAATTCATTGTGAATTACTTGTGTGATATATTGAAAGTGACCTGAAATGAGTTGAACAGTCCACAATTTTAATCTGACTGTGAAAATGATGAAAGAACTGTAATATTTCTCTAAACTATTCCTGAAATTGTGAGCTCGTGCAGAGGAGGAGAACTTTGTAAACTGGGGATATTTTTCCCATCACAACCGGAGCCGTGTTGCTTAGAAAACTAAAGATCCCGAGTGTCTGTTAACCATCACCATTAGGCCCTTAAGCAAGACATTTACATCTGCCTTTGAATGAAAGAAGTTGTCTTTAAGTAGTTAAATTGCTGGCAAGTGTAGAAGAACTGCTCATAAACAGCTGTTTATGGCATATAAAGACAATTGGCTGATGGCAGAGATATTAACTGCTGCTTAGAAAGCCGAAGTGAGCACAAACCTGGATCTTTCATCCTTCATTTCAGCCTCCCGGCATCTAAATAAAACATGTCACCGCATGAATTCATAACTTTATTTATCGGCATTAGTGTGGTTTTTGAGTGAGTGCCATTTTGTGCTGTGTGATTAATTCCAAATTTAGCGAGCATTCGTTCAGCTGGACTGATAGATGTGTGCGAATCTGTAGTTCTTGATGTCTCCGTGCAGAACATTAACACGGGAAATGACGCAGAACTAAAATGCTCGTCTCCATTTATTTTTCTGACACGTGTCACCAGTTCACCTCCTACTGGATCCCCCTTCCCTCTCTTTCTCTCTCTCTCTTTAAAACTTGTAGTATCAAGATGAAATAAAGTTTCATTACGCTCAGTTCTTAAAACGAGGAAGCCTGGCAGAAAAGCCAATATAAACTTAAGAAAGCCTTTCCTTCCTGCCCTCTAAAGCAGCGGGTGCGAGACTGACTTTGATTTATTCGTATGGATTAGACAGATCCGCTCCTGCCATGCACACAATAGTCTGATGACAGGCCCGATAAGCGGCTGTGTTTCTCAGAAAGGCTTGTTGACAGCTTGCCGTTTTGCCCTCTAAATCAGCCGTGTGGGTTTGTAAGTTCACAAACGCAGACTGACAATGGGCAGGATTTATTTACTTATTCAGGACTGATTAGCTCCACAGAAGAGGCAAATATGTTTTCTTGTGTTTTCCTTTTGCTCGAAGGCCTTCGAGTTACTCTGATGGGGATTGCAGCAGTTTAATTTGTAGGATCATGCATTATAGAGTGCTCCTAAAAGGGGTTCGGTTCATACAGCTGGAGTTTTTCTAACACTGATGTTTGGCTGTATAGAGCTTAAAAAAGCTTTTTCCTCATAGGATTGTCTGGATTGGAGGACTCAGTAAAAAAACAAAATGTGTTTCACAATAAAAAAAAAGAAAAGAAAAATGTGCTGTGACTTTCTTAAAGGCACAGTTTGCCAAAACAGCACTCGTACAGCCTCTTCATTCTTGTGTATAACTCTGCTCACATAGTTACAAGCAGAGGAATAAAATCACTACAGTTTGATAAATATCGCAGCTGTTGGACAACATAATCTCCTTTTGAGAGTTTTTTTTAGGTGAGAATGTAGTTATTTATATTTGCAGCTATGCCATTTATTTATAAGGATAGTGCCTCTTTTAAAACATTTATCATTTCGGAGATTCAGCAAAGAAATTGACAGTTGACAGCCACAAGATGGTGACAGAGATCACATAAGTCCTTAGTGGAGGAATCTCAGCGTTTTCTTTTCTTATTTCAAACTACAGCTGATCAAATCATTGATGAGAGACATTCTAAGTCGATCTCTCTCTTTTGTTTGTTGTATTTATACCACAGTTGTCTGGTAGTGTTTGCTTTGGCTTTTTCGAGGATATTTATTGTGATCATCCAATTGCAACAAACCTGTTTTGTTAAACAGTTTGTAATACAATTATTAAATGATTATTATTGTTATTTACAAAGGATAAAATAAATAGTATACATTACAAAAAGATGCAAATTAATAGCTATTATAAAGAAATTGAAGCAAGAGCAGCTACATTGAAAGCATTCGATTGCATCCTTTTATGCTCATTTAAGATAAATTAGCTGTGCTTAAAAGAAAAGCCACCAAGATCGACATGTTTAGATATTATTATGTTTATATGTCTGTTCAAACACGTACCCAAGAGCCCAGAGTGTCCACTTTCGCTTTAAATCACGTGTGTCTAATCAGTTTGGGAAACAGCACCTATTTATCACAATGGAGCAGTCAAGCACCGCTACACGAACTGATGCTTTGAGGATTGCAAAAGAGGGGCAACAGCACCTGTAATGGGGAAAGAAGGGAATCCCATCATTTTTATCTTTTTTTCAAAGTGTTTTCATGCCTAAATAAAAGGAAAGCACTGAACAGATTCACATTTAAGAGCAAGGGGTGTCCCCTGGTGGTTCGGTGGTATGGGTTGTGTATAGGGAGAATCGACTCTTTAATGTTTATTGCCACCCATCATAGAAAATATGGGAGAAATAAAGGAAAATGTTACGGGATGATAGCGGGATAGAAGTGTAAAATACAGGAGAATCCTGGGAAAAACGGGTGGGTTGACAGGTATGTGTGTGTGTGTGTGTGTGTGTGTGTGTGTGTATATATATATATAAATGTCTTAATCAGTATAAGCCAATTGTGCTGCAAATTAAGTTGTAATTGCATGCACATCTGAAGCAGCTGAACGTTGTTTGACATGAATCTGACTTGTACAGCAAGTAGGTTACCATTCCAGTAATGACTAGCTATTTGCTATTTGCTTGTTAACCGTACATTACTTACAGTTAATTAATTATAATAAAATAAAATTAGAATTAAATGCAACATTTATGAAACTTTATCTCAGCCATGAACATAATTTCTATTCTTCTATACAATAATATTCAGTGATTTAATACAGAGAAGGTTATTTAAGTGTTACATGTGAGTTAAAATTGCTCATTCTTTCCAGAGGGGAAATAAAACATATAATTTTGTTTGACCATATCACCAAGACATAATTTGAGAAATAGCTAAAGCTCATTTCTAAAAACCGAATTGAAATAGAAAGGAGTTGAAGCCACAGAAATGCATTGACCGAGCTGCATGAAGGTGCAGTCTAATTTAAGCATAAAAATAGAAGATGATGCCCGACTAGCCATGCTCCATCGTCAGCAGGATATCGGCTCTCAATTAGAGTCACATCACAGATTTGAATGAGTCTTTTATCAGTATCATGTTCTCCTAAAGTGGAGTTCTTGACTCTCTACATGAGAAAGGAATCTCATACTGTTCATTAAAGAGACGTGTTATTATTATTATTATTCTGTCTGTTTTCATATTGCATGAATGATTCTGCTCATCGTCTTGCACATTATCTACTTTCAGGGTCCTTTGATTGCCACAGCATTTACAAATGGGTACCACTGAAAGCTAGCTGAAGACGAGGCACCAACTCTTTGAAGGTACGCATGGCTTTCTCTCTCAGAAAACATCATGTTCTTGAACTGTACTTTTTTGCTGTTCCATTCAAACTAAAGGGGCTATATGTAAGAATTTGCAATGAATTAATCACATTTTTCATATTGGCAATATGTGAACAGCTATTAATGACACTTGAAAAACTCTCTAAGTTGTCTATGAAAGCCAGCAGGTTTTATATGAAAGTCTTGGCAAGTTTTACCTTTTAAAATAAAAAATATGTGACGTTTACATCTCCCATCTATTTTTATGACATCTGAAACTTTTATATCCTTAAGAAATTAACTTTTATTTCCTGCATGTTTAAATGGTTAAGTCTGACCATGAAACATGTTTTTGCTCTTGGACATGTAAATCTTTGCCCAGTAAAATAATCTGGTTTTAAAATAAACTGCTGGAGTAGAGCTGTGGTCTAATAAAAAGAAATCAATTCTTCATCAATCCTGTTATTTTCAGACTGCATCTCCATTTATTTTAACAGTTGACTGAGTTCTAGGCTAGTTTTTAACAGCAGATGGCGATCAAGGTTGGTATGGCTGATGCAAAACTGCCTTTTCGACAATATTTCATGTAGCCTAGTGGTCTGTGTGTAAACTTCTTCAGCGTCAAGCGCACGCGTATGCTCCAGCACAGTCTTCACCTTCACATAACCCTCACCATTGGTAACGCCGACTCTGACGCACACCTTTTAAAAAATGTAACTACATTTGTAACTAATGTAATGTCGCAACGACGTGTAGCGCAAGCTCTGTGATTGCTCAGCTTGGTAGTGCTGACGAGTGTGGGCAGTGCTGAGAGCCGCAAACCTGTTGGAGTGAGTGTTTATACAAGTGTCATCCCCCGTGAAAGAAGCTTCAGATGGAAACTTTTGTTTTGTGTTTACGTCATTAGTTGTTGCACGTCTGCCGGTTCCCGCCTCAGAATGAGTGAGTTTTAGTTACTTGCACATTAAGGTGGCGTTCAGAAAAAACAACAGCGAAGAAATTTGACACAGATAAATATAAAAACTCACTACCAGCTAGTGTTTTGGAAATATTATTGCTGGGCAACACAAACAGCATAAAGAAGTATAAATGCACAACAACGCGCAAGAATGGCGGGTCACGCCAATCACTCAACGCAGAAGTATAAACAAGCCTTAACTGTGCTCCAAATGGCTCGAGATCTAATCCGAGTTTACTCAGAAACACTAAGAAATTGTAATTTGATGCATTGTGATAATGTAAATTTTTTATGACCAAAACGAGACATTTATTTACAAAGTGTTGTCAGTCCAATGTTAGAACAAAACACATTACAAGAACAGCATTTAAAAACTAACATCTATTGCTGGATCACCCTGAATTCTAACCCATTATCTCTGCATGCTAGTCAGGAACTCTCAGCGCTTTACTTGAAACCTCAACTCAACAATGCGGGGTATAATTCCTCAATTTGCTGAACTGTTTCTTTGCTGAAGCTGTTTCAGAGAAAATAAATAAAAATGCCCACTAGGTGTCACTGTAGGGTTTCGAAGCTTTGACACTTTTGCTTCAACAAATTCAGTGTTTCATGAAGCCAAGCTCTGTCCACCACTAGCTCTAGGCTAGTTTTTAATAGCAGATGGCGCTGTATGCTGTACAAATAGCTGTATTTTTTTTGCATCCATTTCCTTACAAATCCCACTTGAACCAAGGTTATAATAGTTTTAGATTTTTCATTAGTTTTAGTTTTTATTTCGTTTTTTGACTTTTTGTTTTTTTAAATTCAGTTAGTTTTAATGACTTTTTAGAGGTTTTTATTAGTTTCTATATTTTGAAACTGCTGTTTTAGTTTATTGTTTATTAGTGTTAGTGCTTTTTTTTTTTAATTGGAACATTTGTCAGATGCACAATTCAAAATCATCAGAATAAATATTGTATAATAAAAACTCAACCAAAGAAAGACTACTTTATTTTGACAAAGAAACGCTACCATTAGCCTTAAGTAAAATATATGAGTAGCTACTTCTGAGGTTAAATACACAGTGGTGATGGGAAGTTCAGATCTTTAATGCGAACCAGATCTTTTGTGACAATCAAAGTTTGGACTCAACATATCAAAAATGTAGTATGCAATCATAGTTTCATTTGGTTTAATCATCACCATGATTAATTCCATTACGACTTTCTGTTATGAAATACTGTAAACTTAAGTTACGCTTGATCCTCTATTTTAAGCCCTCGGTTTACCTGCGCTGCATATGTTCAAGTTTAGTTCAGTCACAGCAGGCTGTCATGTACTGTTTGTTCACTGAATGACGCATGCGCAGTATTATCAGTTCACCGCTTCTTAAATCTGATCCCATGTACTGTTCTAATAACTGAATAACTTGGTATATATTGTGGTTTATTTAGAGTCAGAGGAGGCATTAGGCATGTTAAAAAGTATTTTGTGGAAAAGTGCCTAACGTTACTGAAGACGCGAATCGTTTCAAATGTTCTATAGTTCTACTAGTATAGTTCAACTTTTTTTTTAACTCTCGTTTTTATTTTAGTTAACAAAAATCTTTTTCAATTATATATATATTTTTTTTGTTTTAATCGACTATAATTACCTTGACTTGAACAGTAACTAATCATCAACAAAGTTAGGAAAGGTTTAAGTAAACTACAAGAGTGTTTATAGTGAGTTTACATTTAATCTCATGACATAACAAAGCAACTTACATTGATTCAGCCAAAAAACAGGTGTCCTCGTACATTTGAGTTTACAGCAAAAACTAGTCCAGACCCCACCTGCCATTAAACACTAAGCTCAGTATCTATTAAAAAAAGAATAGTGATGCATTTTAAAAATCTCTGAATTGATATAGAATCAATTTCTCAAACAATTATTTGCTACAGCTCTAAACACAACCCATCCAATTGCAGCATGCATTGATAAACATGAGATGTGCTGTTGAATGATGCTTAGACCAGTGTTTCCCAACCCTGTTACTGAAGGCACACCAGCAGTACATATTTTGGTCGTCTCCATTATCTGACCTATTAACTTCAGTTTTTGGGGTCTCTTCTAATGTTCTGATGAGTTGATTCAGGTGTGTTTGATTAGGAAGAGGTAGAAAATGTCTACTGTTGGTATGCCTTCAGGAACAGGGTTGGGAAACACTGAATTAGACACATACGCATTCAATCACCCAGCCCTAGTGTGTAGTTTCTGCTCTCATGTATCTAATGCTGTATCTGTTCTGATTTGCCAGAGTTTGTCTGGAGGCCCTGGGAAAACATCCGGAGTCTCTGATTGGTTCGTGTACAGTTGATGTCATATAAAGACTTCAAGCACTACAGGTTCTGATTGGTCAAAGGAGAGACGAGGAGGGTGGAACCAAATAAAGTGGACAAGAACAAACACGATCATCTCAGAAAACCAACATCGCAACTGCTGTAACTACTCCAACCCTCCTGTCTCTGCAGGACTTCTCCCTGTTTTTAATTGATTTTTACACGCGCTTCTCTTCCTTTCTGTCAGCTTTTGAAATGACTTTGGCTTTTAGAGACACACTTGTAGATAAGCGAGTTGTTCAGCCGTGATCTTTTTTCACTCATTTTTAGTGTTCGCTAGTCTTGTCAATTTTTTTGCGCTCATGGACAGACGCCACATTGAAAGACATCCATTGGGGGAAAAAAAGAAAATAATCTTAGTAGCTGTTTTTAATTGTGAAGTCTCATTGTGGATCATGATGACCTATTTTTGGGCAATACAGAGGGAGAGGACTCCAATATTTTTATGGTCCTTTTTATATATATATACACACATATATATATCTATCTATCAATGTGTTGTTGTTGTCGTCATTTAGAAAAAGAAAAAAGTATACTGTACAATGTTTTTTTTAAATGAAAACATGGTGGTTTCAAATATAAGAGACAGAAATGTAACTGTAAATATACGTCACCGCATATTAACCAGTTCAGACTTATTTTTCTGATGGTTTAAAAAAAAAAATCAGGGTGAAATACAAATGTTTGACGCAATTATGGTGGATAAAAAAGTAAAATACTCCAGTAATAGATTATGATTTGTTCAATGACTGTAAACGCATAAGCTGAATCATCTGACAGGTGTAAAACCAGCATTTTCATGAGCTCAATCTTTCAGAAACGCCACTCCTGTCTAAAGCACACTGTGTGTAGTGATCAACGAAAGGACGTTTTGCTGTGTTCTGCACATTCTGACACTTTTATACTCCTGAGAAAAGAAAAAAAAAAAAAAGAAGCTTACTATGTCGTCTGTTGTTGTTAATGTTGTCTAATAGAGGACGTTCCTCTTGATTTTGGAAGTTGTACGTGAACGGTTTACTTCTATTTGGGCAGGAGAAAGCAAAGATGTTTTTTTGTTTTGTTTTTAATGAATCATACCTCAGTCCTGTGAGATTTCATTTATTCTGCGCAGATCAAGCGCATAGAGGAAGCTTTGCACTGTGTACAAAAAGAATGAGGGGTTTTCTCTTTGCACATGCTAGCTGTCACGACTGACCTTACACAGATTTGAAGTATGAAAAATTGTTCAGTGAATGTTGCTTTTATTTTTCTGCCGCTGGCGTCCAGAACGCAGGTCGAGAAGAAGCCAAACGAAAAGCAATCTATTACTGGTGCGCTCAGATTTCATTTCAAGGACATAGCGAGCCTTTTATCTGAAATATTGACGTATTTTATTAATATACAGCCAGTTGAAGACACTGAAGAAGAAGAAAAAATGTTGACCCAGAGCTGCTGATGAGTTTTGTTTTTAAGTTGAAAAGCTGTTTTAGGTCAAATGCATATATATAAATAAATAAAATGCAGATTTTTAATGTTCTGATATGTATATTCTGATGTAAATGTGTCTTTTTCTGCTGCAGGTGTAAACTGTTTTTTTGTTTAATGACTTCTCTTTGATTTGGTGTAGTCTGGTGGACGGAGGTGTGTTAAACCCAGAGCCTCCAAAAGATTTACAGCTCCAGTTATATTTAACATCCGGAAGGAAACTGAGCAGAAGATGGAGGAAAACTATTGTAATGTTCAAATGTAAAAGAAAATGTAAAAACAAAACATTAAAAAAAAGGAAACGAAGATGTTTGTTCACTCATTTCAATTTGAGCTTTTTCTTTTCTCTGTCTTTTTAGCTTTTGTGTCATTTAAAGGTGGTACTTCGTGCTCATTTCTAATTAAAACCAAGGTTTGTTAGTTATTTGTATGGAACTGAACAGAACTTGGACTAGGCATTTGCACAAAAAAAACAATTTATATATATATATATATATATATATATATATATATATACATACACACACACACACACACACATGTAATATATATAAAATGACAATTTTCCATTATCACCATCATAGGTTAAAATATTTAGGAAAATTCACATCATAAAATAATTTTAAAGCATTTTTTATTTTATGCTTAAAAAGTGGTTAACATATATTATGGCTAATAGATTATTTTAACCATAAAATGTATATATGTATCTCTCTACATAGGCTCATTCTGAAAACAAATACATATACAAATCTATATACATTTCTGGAGATTGCGAATTATGTAGCCAGAAAAACGCATGGCTGCATTTCATCATTAAAGTGAATGCTACGCAGCTGTATGACGCCGTTCCTTTTCGTGGTTACCTCCGTGTGGTCAGCTTTTCTGCTGTTACCAGTTTGATCAGTAGCTCGCCGCTCATGTCTGAGGATTTGAGATGCAGAGCAGAGTAGACCGTGACTATGGTGTTCGAGGGTGAGAATGTGGAAAAAAAAAAACTGAAAATGTGGTAATACATAAATAAATCAGGCTGCCGTGAGGGCTTTCCTTTTTCTGGATTGCTTTTTAAAACACTGCTGGGTTGGGTTTAGGGAAGTGGATGGATGCTGGCCTACCTGTGCTTTTTAAAATACTGTTGGTTGGGTTTAGGGAAGAGGGTGGATGGGGGAGTATTGGTCAGTCAGTCAATAAGTCAGTCGACAGTGGCCTCTGGTAAATTACGTGAGGAGAGCAGGCACGAATTGCACTCACGGGAGAAATTTGAGATTTAAAAAAAGTACACACAGTGGCCTCTGGTGGATTTGCGAAGACAAAAACGTAGATCCTGGGTCTTATTTGGTACTCTCCAGAAATGTATTTAGCGGTACATAATCAGAATGAGCCAGAATTTATAATTATATATTTATTTATACATACAGGGTGATTCAAAAAGAATACCACAACCTCAAATCTGTATTTAATCAAAGAAACATGATGGAACCTTTCAGCAATCAATGTGAAGAGAACTTAACTTATATCAGAGCTATCACAAATCGATGATTGAAAGAGCTTATCTCTCTTTCTCTTAGAGTTCTCGATTTTCAATCACCCTGTATAACAGGTAACAAGGTTTACAATAAGGTTGTATTAGTTAATGTCATTTAATGTATTTACTAACATGAACAAACAATGAACAATACATTTATTACAGTGTTTGTTAAAGAAAATACAGTTGTTCATTAGTTCGTTAACTCGCGGTGCATTAACTAATAATGCATCAGTAAATGCTGAACTAATGCTAAACAAGTATTGTTTTTTCTTAGTTCATATTAGTAAATACCTAAAATGAAGCCTAACTGTACAGTGTGACCATATCAGTACCAATTGCCTAAAAATTGAATAACTATACAAATGTTAACTACATTAAAATCAGTTAACAGTTAATAAAGCATTTACAACCTTATAAATTAGTATTTGCCTTAATGATAATATATAAATGTTGATATGAATAGTTTATTAATCATCTACTAACTCATTCTGAATAATGTTAAAACCTCAACTACTCTAAATACAAATGATTAATAAATGATGCGATACTTAATTAAGTCATGACAAATTAATCACTTACAGTTTGAAAGTACAGTCATTCAGCACCTTATACACGTGCTTCTAAGTCAATAGTAGAGCATTTGTATCTTCAGTTATAAACTGTTTACTGATATCTGCTAATGTAGAGTTAATGCTTATCTGTTAATGAATTCAGTATTTGCTAATGCTTCATAAATGATTTATTGTGTGTAGTTGTTATAAAGTGCTACCCCATTGGGTAATCATAACTATTGCATTAAGTACTATTTACTAATATAAAAAAAGTCATTTAGTTAGTTAGTAATTTAGGTAGTTTCCCCCACAGTCCAAAGACATGTGGTACAGGTGGATTGGGTAGGCTTAATTGTCCATAGTGTATAGGTGTGAATGGGAGAGTATGGGTGTTTCCCAGTGATGGGTTGCAGCTGAAAGGGCATCCACTGCGTAAAACATGTGCTGGATAAATTGGTGGTAAATTCCGCTGTGGCGACCCCAGATTAATAAAAGGACTAAGCTGAAAAGAAAATGAATAAACACAAGTCATTCTTACTTATACTGAGGAACATTTACTCAGATCAATTAAGTTATGTTAACTCACCTGAAACTTTACTCTGAGGAATAATGCTGGTAAAGTTTACTTAAACTACAGTCTTAATTATACATAATTAAATTGTAACATGGTAACTAATAAAAACCACAGGCTCTCCTGTTTCTCTTATGTTTATATTCTTTAGCAGTCAATATTACACTTTACGTCTATGGAAGATTGAGGTCATAAAGTTAGAGAATGTGTAACATCATATTCATCTAAAGACGGTTTATGTGCATGTAACCCCACTGGCAGGGCGCAAGCCAGCGATACCGGCATGCATAGGAGAAAAATGCTCTGAGGAGGCTAAAGATTGCGGAACAACGTCTGTTGCTGGATTCGAGGAGTGAGGTTTAGGCGATCTCCAGCTAGCTTCCGTTACATAAGGGCAAATACAGATGACCAAAACATCATTCACTTATTTTGAATACTCTTTTTATTACTTATAATGTCCAAGACATTGATATTAATATTAAATGCTACTTTTGTGCCATTTTTTTTCCTCGTTTATTTACTGGGTTAAAAATCTTAAATTATTCCATCTCCACCTGCTGGTGAAAAAGCAGCTGGCGATCTTCAATCTGCAATCTATTGCTTTTCCTGCAGTTCCCGGATGTAATGTTGAATTTTAACAGTCGAATTTGAACCACTGAATTTATGGAAGCGAATATTTGAACTTAAATAAAATGAACTGAAAATTGCCTTTTTAATATTATACATCATATTTTTAAAGGGTATTGAACATTTTGTGAGTGAAATCTGGAAATTGAATGTGAATTATTGAATTTAAAAGTATGAAAACATATGAAACATATTTTTAGTTGAAATATTCACAGCTTAAATAAACAGATGTGTTAAATTTTAGGACCTAAAAATACAAACCCTGGAATTCAAGTCATTAAAACGCAAGAACTTGTTAATTTGGTCTATTATTTTTTTCGGTTTGTGCTATTCAACAAGCTTTTTAATGCAACACTTTTGCCATAGATTTTGTTCCATACTGTTAGGTTGGGGTTAGAGTTAGTGTAAGCTGACATGTACTTGCAAAGTGTCTTATAGTCAGTTAAATGTCTGTTGAATGTCAGTATCAACAGATAATAAGCAGACAGTCTACTAATACTCAACTGGACCATCAAAATAAAGTGTTACCCACAAAACTAGCATGTCCTGACGATAACTACCCACAATTGTTTAAAATTCTTTAAATTAGCTTGTCTATATATTGGCACTTTTTAACTATTCATTCATCCATTTTGCTTCAGTCACTTTATTCATCAGGGGTCGCCATAGCAGAATGAACCACCAACCATTCCAGCATATGTTTTACAGAGTGGATGCCCTTCCAGCTGCAACCCAGTACTGGGAAACACCCATACACATTCATCACATACTACAGCCAATTTAGTTTATTCAATTCACCTATAGCGTATGTCTGGACTGTGGGGGAACTGGAGCACCCACAACAACAACAGGGAGAACATGCAAACTATCATCATGGCAAAGATAAAAGAAATCAGTTATTATAAATGAGCTATTAGAACTATTGTGTTTAGAAATGTGTTGAAAAACCTCACTTAAACAGAATTAGCCTCCTGTATATTTTTCCCCAATTTCTAACTTCAACTGTATATATCTTTTTTAAGAATTGAAAGATGGATAAATCTGTATGTGTGCGTTTTTAGGCCTATTTTTGTCCACGTGTGTCCCCCATCAGCTGTCTTTGCGCTGTCAGCTCCAGCAGATCCTCCATCTCCTAAAGAGAGGCTGTCATGCTGCTTTCTGCTCAAAATCTACCCTAAAAACCCTGCGCTTCACTTCAGCCTGGATCTGTCAAACTGCAGATCTTCAGCCTGATATAAACATGATGCTGATCAATAATTACTCTGCAGGCTCACAGCTTTATTATTGATGCAGAAAGTCACTCACCGTCTTCACGTGGGACTGGTCTTGCTGGGGTTCAGTTCAGTTGGATTGTAGACTTGCTTTGAGGATCCCATGTCGTTACAACTCTTTAAAAAATTGTTTCTGAAAAGTTGTCAATTTTGCAGATTCAACAGGGTTAATTCATTCTGACACCAGGCCACAATGCATGACAGGTACCTGGCAACACAGAAATGCAATGCAATGCAATAACAGAAATAAAAACCTTTAAAAACCTCAAAACTCCTGCCCCTGCTCTAAGAAGGAAATATGCAATTGATGTAATTAAGTAATGTAAATTAACAATGTTCAATATATATATATATATATATATATATATATATATATATATATATATATATATTCAAAATGCATAAGTAAATTATTAATAAACTATTTAAATTAACATTTATCTATTTATTCAGTCATACACTCACCAGCCATTTTATTAGGTACACCTGTCGAACTACTCGTTAACGCAAATTTCTAATCAGCCAATCACATGGCAGCAACTCAATGCATTTGAGCATTTAGACATGGTCAAGACGATTTGCTGCAGTTCAAACAGAGCATCAGAATGGGGAAGAAAGAGGATTTAAGTGACTTTGAACGTGGCATGGCTGTTGGTCCCAGACTGACTGGTGTGAGTAATTGAGAAACTGCTGATGTACTGGGTTGTTCACGTACTACCATCTCTAGGGTTTAAAGAGAATGGTCTGAGAGGAGAAAA